AAATGTGTATTCTTTCCTAGGTAATCTTGTTCATTTCTTTGTATATATAATCGATTTATATTCTCGTAAAGTCGTATTTTAGTAATTAATTAATTAATTTAATAGAGGATGTACGAACGGTGTAAGAAAGATTTATCGTGTGTTTTTTTTTGTTTTTTCTTTTTTTTTTATCTTTTTGTTCTTTTGCTTCATCTTCTTCGCCTCTGTCGTTCCTGTTTATCCCACCCCCTCCCCTCTTTATCCCTCTTCTCTTCACTTCTCTTCAACGAAGGTGTTATAAATTCGACGAAAAAAAGTGTTCGACCGCTGATCACCTAAGTTTCTCTCTAAACAGAGTCTCTTTTCCATTTTTCCCCCGTGAAATCTCTGCTTCACTCTCGTCGCTGCGCCGCGACCATCCTCTTCTCTCTCTCTCTCTCTCTGCTCGTCGTCTCTTCGATCCGTTCGTTTTCTTCTTACACGTCGAAGAACACCGGAAGCGGATTCATCCTCCTCGTACACGGGCCAATACGTCGAACTACGCGAACGGAGGACTTTTGTTTCTCCGCCGTAAAAATTGGTTCGACACTTCCTCTCGAATCCGTGCTTCTCCTATTTTCGTTAATTACTCCTCGATCCTGAATTTCATATCTCGACCGTGGAAGAGATACCACTTCTCCTTCACCGGTATATCTTCTTCCTCTACTATATAGTTTCTGTACTCGCCTCGTGTTCGACGTAGTTCGGCAACGAGCACTCGGGGACTCTCGAGAGATCGACTGGTAAAATTAAACGGTACGTGGGCTGGCGGGGCGCGCGTCGCGGCGCCGATTTACGCGTCACCGCCAGTCGCGAAACTGCCTTACGACGATGAGGTAACAACGTTTAAACATCGCTCTTCTCTCCCTCTCGGACTATCGCGCGTAATCTCTATTCGTGTACCTGTGTATCAGTGTGTGTACGTGTGTGTATATATATATATGTATGTAACGAGCGTATGCACACCGATCTGAACGGGTCTTTTCTTCGAGCAAAACGTATAGTAGCTTCGTTCTCCATTCGCCGCTTGGTTCGGCCTATTTTCAGCCTACTCTCGCTTGGAACATACCCTCGAGACGCTTATAAGCGTACATACAGTATCATTAAGAAATAATTAATAATTATTCAACATTCTACACGGTAACGACGACTTTTCCTTTTAGCCTCGGTTCATTTGTACCAATTTGTTCTCGTTCAAAATAATTTGAAATAACACTATTCGATATATTACTCTTTTAAGATTAAATAGGAAGAATTATAATATATATGCATTGATATATTACATATATATTATTATTACTTAATA